CCCGAGAGCAGCATGGAGCGGCGCCGCGTGCAGGCCTACATCGACAGCCTGGGCGGCTACTCGCGCTCGCTGCCCAAGTCGTTCACCAAGTGTTTGGGCGTGCTCAAGTCCCCGCAGGCGGCGCGACACAGCTGCAGCCCGGCGGGGCGGGCGGACCGCGAGCCAAGCACGCCGCCGCGCGCCGGTCGCACCCCGGACCTCGGGGAGGAGGCGGCGGCGGCGACACGGCCGGCCACGTGCGGACGGAGCCGCGGCCGCCAGCTGTACGCCCGCCTGGTAGCGCGCACCAAGAGCCGGGACCGGCGCTCCACTCTGCCAGCGCACATTGGACGGTTGTACCGGCAGCATACGGCGGCCGAGTTGGGCCGCGCCAGAGCCGGACCGAGAGGCGACCGACGGTAAGTACAGCTGAGGTCGGCTCAGGCTCGCCGCAGGCTCCCAGCTACAGCCAGCTTCACGGTAGCGAGCGCCACGGTAGCGAGCGCCACGGTAGCGAGTGCCACGGTAGCGAGCGCCACGGTAGCGAGCACCACGGCAGCGAGTGCCACGGCGGTGGGGCTTTTCACGATTCGAGTGTTTGTAGTTGATTCGGGCCCAGCTCAACGTTCGGGGCCTTGTTGATTCGGGGCTTGTTGATTTTGTACGCTCCGCGCTTGATAAGCCCGCTAATTTCAAAAGGTCCTGGGTGACGTGCTCCGTTGTGCGCGCCGATGTGGTGAGTCACCACTCAACACGCGACAATTATGGGTTTGAGACCGGCGAAATAGCCACCCTTTCAGCGGGCGAGATCAGCGCGGAATTGATTTTGGGCGGCGAGCGTGGTGTGGGTTTGTTCTCAGTAAATTGGGTTCGCCCACTCGAGACGACTCAGTCGTGACTGGTGCACGGCTTCGAAACTCGGCGAATTCGCGCGTTCGTCCCGATTTCCGGGGCCCAGTTGTGAACCGGCTGTGACGCGCACTCTCACGGCCTGCTCGGCCGCCTCATCAGGCGCCGACCGCGCTGATGGATTTTTGCCCGCGCACTCAACGAGCGTGGCGGCAAGGACTTTCTCGGCCTGCGCGCGGGAGCGCCCGCCCCTGCGACCGGTCGGCTGGGGTGCACAGCCCGGCCGAGCCAGTGCGCGGCGTGCTTCCCGACGTGGCCGCCAGAGGCCTGGGCCGCAGCGTCACCAGGCGCCTCGGCTACGGTCCCAGCCTGTGAGAACGGCCTGACGAAGAACATCGTCATCATCAGGCGGACGCGTAGCGGGAATCAAGCCGGGTTTGGCGGGGAGAGTCTGGAGGTAATGGGTCTGCGGTAACAAGACAGCAGCAGCCGGATCGCGCGTATATCGTACCCCATGCGGCGGCGGGGGGGGGGGGGGGCCGCGTGTGCAACTGGCTCCTGGAACGAACACGTCGACCACGGGACAATGCCAGTTGGTGGGAGCCGGCCGCGGCCGGCGCCTGAGACAATGCCGACCGGTGGGACAGTGCCAGGGCCGACCGGCCGACAGTGACCCCGCGACCCGCCGGGACCTGCCTCGACCCCGTTCACGCGCGCCACCGCCGCCCCTGTGCCGCTGACACCGCCACCCGCCGGCCTTGACCGCCCCTGCTGGGCGGCGGGCGGCCCATCAGCACCGGGCCCGGTGCGTCCGCCCCCCTCCCCCTCCCCCTCCCCGCGGCCCGGCCACGCCGGCGGCCGTGCCTACGTCGAACTGTCAACACGTGTCGCGCGTGAGCTGACTCACCCGGCGGCGGCGGCGGCGGAGCGGCGGCCCGGTCGGGTCGCCGACCTGAGCAGGTCAGGGGGTTCTCGGCTCCCGATGCCGTTGGCGGGGGGGGGGGGGGGCGTACCCGCCGCCGGTGGGCGGGGTTGCTCGGGAAGGGGAGAAGGTTGCATCTGCCGGACATCGGGCATTGCTCGTGCGGGCGCCAACGGCGGCAGCGGCGGCGAGCACTCGACCGTGATGTGATGGTGTATTTGATCCACTGGCTGCACTGACGCTTGGAAGCTGCTGCCGGCCGGCGCGACGAAAATAGGCCGAACCGTGGTGTCGGTCAACCTGTCCAGAAGCCCGTCTTATAAACGAGCGGAAGCAAAACAACTCACGTGCGTTATTGGTAATCGATAAGAACCTTTTGCAACCTTCATACGCGCCTCGTGCGGCTAGGCAGGGAGCGGCGCTGTTCTCATTGTGGATGCAGTGTAAGTAAGATCTCATCTGAGGTTGCTGTCAGTTCATGTAATTTGTTTACGGACGTCTCGAGTCGCCCCGAGGAATACCATGGCTCGGCTGAGTTAGCGTTCCATGTTAGCGCCACGGCAGCGGGCGATATGTAGCAGACCAATGGACGTCACTTATCGACGGGTATGCGGGCTGGGCCGGCGTTATCGAGCGTGAACTCCCTGGAGACGGGGAGAGATCGCGGTCGGAGACGACGCTCGGCCGGCGCACCGACGGCAGATGGCGAGGGAAAGGATTAGAGACAGCTAGCTGTTTACATTCGATCAAAATACTCGGCCGTGATTTGGCACCAGACCGGTCCCAGTCTAAACTGGGAGTGGAGTTTCACGAAGGCTCGGAGAAACTTCACACGGTCGAGGCGGGACCGTTAGAGGTACGGACGGTAGGCGCAGATGCCACCGCTCTGTCACACGACACTGTCGGGCATGAGCGCGTCAACATTAAAAGACACGCGGCTAACTGTAACTAGACAACACGTGGGACTAAACGAGTCCGTTGTACCCCGCATTGTATTTTGCTTTTGTGATGCTGTACCCCCAGTGATCAAAAGTGTATTGCCGATACGCGTAATTAACAAAACGTTCGTCTCGGCTTTGATCGAGGAATCGATTTCCCCTAGCAGAGACGTCAAACACTGGGGTGATTCGTTCGGTAGAAACTGCGTGACATCTGCTTGGCTATACACAATGCAGTGCTGGAACGGAACCAAACTCAGAGGAAACTCCCTAAGGATGAGAAATGACAATCGGTTTACAGGTGGGACCACAATAACCCTTCTTTGAGAAGACGAGACTGTTCAGAGACCTAAGCTCATGCCGCCGAAAGACCCCGGCTCCCGTCTGCTGGTGCTGGGCCCAGTCCAGCTCTGAATGCTGGCTTGCCTGACGCTACTTTACAGACCGGTTGGTGCGATTGCTTTGCGTGACGCCAGAGGCACAGCTTCTCAGAGGTAATCGTGCGACGGCATGGTTAATGAGTGTGCGCCGACAATGAATGGCCGGGTACGCACCGTCTCTGTTGCGCTATCCTGTCAGCGAGCTTTAAGAGCGCTCGGTAATTAACGACCGCCTGACACAACGGCGGAGCGCCAGCTCGCATGGCAGAAGACCATGCCACTGCTCTCTGTCATCATTTGATTAAAATTCTGTCGTCATGCAGGCATGCGCGTGACGCAAGCTCAATTTGGCGAAATAAGCATGATGCTGAGAAGTTATTAGAGTGGACAATTAGCTTGCATCACGATGCAACAACGCTGCGAGTCTGGCGCTCATATTCGCATGTTGCGCAGCGACGCCCTCAGACGTCGGTTAAGCTGTCCGAGTTAGCTGAGGGCTGATGTCACCGGCGTCGAGATTAAAGCACAGTGTTCGCCGTAATCAGTCGGCTGGGATGTCGGTCCGGCGCAGTACACGAGAGTGCTCCATGCTGTTAATAGTTCCGTGGCGTGCTTTCGCCTTGTCAGTTTTTACGCTTATTTGCCGTGGCATTCGCGTTTGCATGGCTCCTGCCGCCGGCCGCCGTCGAGGTCCTACGGACGACTGCTGTGACGCGCGCTGCCGTCGGCCCCTCGTCGGTGCCGACGGGACTGGACAGTTCGAGCGCCGCCCACGCGGCGGCTGGGCTGCGGGGCCAACACCCTGCCGCCGCTCCGCCGCCGGGGAAGCCAGCCGACCTCGCCTGCGTGCCGTCAGAGCCGCGTGCCGATCCCCGGCCCGGCTGGGGGCGCCGTCCCCACAGCTGCGCCCCGGCGGAGCCTGGCTCAGCCGCGGCTGCAAAGGCGGCCGCCCGCGGCCCGGGCCGCAGCTGGCGGCGCCGGACAGAGGACGCTGCTGGGACCGCAGGGTCGCGCCGCGAGATAACGTTCATTTTCCGGTTCCTGTGCCTGAGGCGGCCGAGTGGCATGCCGCAGTCCTCTCTGTGCCGCCACGTCGTGCCGTTGGCGACGCTCCAGCGCTGCATTCAGGCAGTTGACCGCTCGCACCGCCACCCCCATCCGTCTGACCTTTAAATGTGGTACCCGTCGGAAGTGAATCATCGCCCCTCCGTCGCGTGCGCCACCACGGCCGAACTGTGATCGGTGCTCGATGAGAGCGACTCGCGCTCATTCGACAGTGATTCCTTGCGCCAAGCCGTCTCGTCGAGTCCCGGGAGTCCCTTGCCGAGTCCGTGGACTCCTCCGCTCGTAAGGTCCCGCCGCTGGTACGATCGAGAGCGAGTCCGGCGCGCGCGGCTCGACTCCAGCCCGTGGCGGCGGCGGTGTTCCGAGAGCTCGCGCCGCCGGCGGCCGGGTGTCGTGATGTGGAGCTCGCTCGTGCGTCGCAGCCACGAGCGCGGTGAGTGACGCCGGCGTGACGCGGCCCGTCACGCGCCCTCGTCTCGTGCCTCCGGTCACGGGCCGACGACGTTGGCGCCGTCGGCTGACGAGCAGCGCGCGCCTCACGCCGGTCGTGCCACTTTCACTTTCGCCAGCCGACGGGCCGTGCGCTGACAGCGGACGAGCGCGAGATAACACCCGTCGGAGCGTGACACGGAGTGGCCGCCACGGCCGGCCAGCGCTGCTCTATCGCTGCTGGTGCTGTCGTGTCGTCGCTTGCGAACGTTAGAGGCTAATGACGCGTTTTTCAAACGGTGTTACGTCACGCCCTCGTCGTTCTCGAGCATCTCGATTTTTCCGGTCGATAACGTAGTGGCGTCGTGGGTAAGGGGTTAGGGGGGGCGGCATAGGACCGCATTCCAACCAATCACTCACGTCCTCCGCGTACGCCAGGCCCTTCGGCTGCACCACGAGCTCACGAGAGGCTCAGGCCCAGCCGGTCCTTTGGTGATGCGCGCTCGCCGACCTTCTGTGACCCCGACCCGGCCTGTGGTGACTTCAGGAGTGTACGGCCCGCCAGCGACAACTCGACGCAGAAAGGTAAATTACCTTTGCCGCTCCCCTCCACGGTCGGTTTTGGGTCTTTTGATGATGTGGACGAAGCTCGCATGCGATGTGAGCGCAATGGGAATGGGCTATCACGTCAACCGGCTCTCTTCGCGCGCATTGAGCATGGACAATATCGACTGGCTTTGCGCTTACTGAGGTGGGACCACCGACGTTCAGCTCACGTGCATACTAGGGGAGTCGGCGGTTTTCGGTGCATCCCCGACTTCAAGCATGGTTGACAACGATGGTGGACAATCCTTCGAGCGCAATGCATCGTTGCCTTCTCGATGTTACCTGTCGTTAACGGTCCCATGGCACCGCCCCGCTGGAACCGGCCGCACGTCACGTTCAGGCGGTCGGTGGTCTCTCGAGCTCCGCCGCCTCACTCGGCTCGTGCCGCACTTGGAGGTGAAGACCCCCCCCCCCCCCCGATGACGCCACTTCAAGCGTGGCCATTGAAAGGCAATATCAAATGGAGGCCGTCCAATCGCAACATGTCTGCGGCGCCAGCTCGTGTGCGAAACACGCTGACGGCGGCACGCCGCGGGTCACGAGCGAGGTGAAGGGATCACGGCCTATCAAGGAAGGGGTCACGACCTATCTGGGGAGGGGTCACGACCGAGGTGGTCATCGGAGAGGGGCGCTTGGTGCCCGGTATTGGCCAGACATGTAGACGGGGGCCACCATATTCTTCCCCCTGAGTCCAGCCCTTTACATTAGGTATTGAGCCATTGTGCAAAAATGCGGTCCAAGGTCGCGGGAGCGCTGGCGAAATTTGGCATCCCTCGGATGCAAATCCGGATGACGTGCCTGGCATTGTTTGGCAGCGGCTGCGGACCGGAGCGAGGGTCTGGCGGCGGGTGTGGGTGTCGGATTACACGCCGAGACGGCTCTCAGCGGGGCTCGCTCCCACCCGAGCTCGGCCGCCGATGTCCGTGTGCTGGCGTGAGTGCGGGGTCTCACGCAGAGGCGACCCTGAGCCGCATTCTCACCCGCGCCCCGGCCTGTGTGGGCGGGCGTCGGCTCGCACGCTCAGCTGTCCCTGAACCTCACACGCCGGTGGTGATCGGTGGAGGTTGTATCACTTCTCCTATGGGATCGCTTATGCATGATGCTGCACGAGATCGTGCACCATTAGGGAGGAGACGGAACCAGTGTCGGAAGAAGGCTGCTTCTCGTCGAGTGCCTTATGGGTCCGGCGTGTCTCATTGTCGGAATGATCCTCTGCTCCTCCGTGCAATGCGTCACACCCTGTGCTGTAAATGATTGTGCGCAGGAGGCTCCGTTGGCTGCTACGCTCCGGCTCCTGGGCTCCTATCACGCTACTCGAACGGTTGACGTGTCGTTGCTGTGCAATTACACCCCCGCGGCTGCTTAGGCGTACATGGTTTTCTACCCGCGCAGCTGACCCGCAGTGGGTTGCCCTTGCTCCCTCCCTGCGACCGTGCGGGGCCGGCCGGGCACGGCCACCACGCCACGGGTCGGTACGGTCCGGTCGGAACGGAGAAGCGACCGCCCGTATCACCTATAGACCGTCGACCTCATAGCTCAGCTTATGTTAAACGCCAGTTCAGGTCCCGTGTCTTTAGATTTGGTGGCAACCAGCAAGCCCACTGTATGACGCACGGCGACACTAGTGGTGCCATCTAGGAGCTAGTGTTCGACCTGCAAGGTCGGCTGTGCTCCGCCACTGCTCGCGGGGACATCTACTGGCAGCGGCTGAAAGTAATCTGTGGGAGTTCCGCGCGAACTCTGCATTCGTCAGTCCAATGCAGGCAGCTCGCCTGGCGACGGTGCAGAACCTGTGTTACCATGCAGGCAACACCTCTCCCGACCGCAGAGCCGCATTAATCGGATGTATCTGTTGCTGTGTCATACTTAACTCCTGTTAGGCATTTCATCATCCTGCTGGTGACGGGGTACATTACTTAACCTATGATCCCAATCTTTCCGTTTATCAGTCCTCTGATAGATGAGTGGGCGAATGCGCGGGCGGCGCGGCGATGTGCACCGCGTCCGTATGCGCGCCGCAGCCCCAGCCACTGCTGCTGCGGTGCACGGCGCCGGCGTATACGACGACGCCCCTACAGTCCCGGCGGCTGGCTCGGGTTGTTTGAGTGGGTGCTGTGCGCGTGCGGAGGGTGCCAGGCCGCGCCCTGCCGACAGTCGAGCCGTGCCGCTGTGTCCGGCGGCGCCTGGCCCGGACCGGGCTCGTGGTCTCCGGAACCGCGGCTGATCGGGGGCCGCGTTATCAGGCTGGTGTCCGCTCGGCCTCGGCGCGAGCTCAGTGGTGGAACAGGGGCGACGAGGAGCCGAGCGGCGTCGCGCGCGGCGAGGCCCCTGGACCGGGGTCAAAGGCCTGTCACACCGAGCGTCAGACCTCGTGCGTCAAGACCCAGACACCTGGCAGACCAAGACTCGAAGACATCGCAGGCCGGGCTGAAACAACTGGTGTCCGACACTATAAGTAACCGTTCCACGAGACCTGCCGACTCGGCGGCCGTCGTGGCGGGCTTGTCTCGCGGTCGGACGGTCGGCGGGATAAGCTCCTGCCGGACTCCTGCGACTCCGCGACCGTGACACGCTGGAGCGTTGCGGGGGCGCACTCGTGCCTCGCCGCCAATCCTGTGATTCAGAGCGTCTGGCGGTACCAGCGGCGGACATGACGGCGGCGTAGTTCGCAGTATTTCAGCGCGTTAGCGCCAATGGGGCCGTCGCGGCGTGGTGCCGTCCGTGCAGCTAGAGCCATGGGATTACCAGACCCCATGATCACCTCCTCCCAATCATAGGATTGGATGATATATGAGCTCTAAACGGCTGGAGGTAAGCGTCGTTACGTCAGCGAGGGAAATACTACGCTCGATTTCGGCATTAGATCGCCATCGGGCCGTCACCTCCCAGCATTACGCTGGTCTGGAAAACGCCTGATGTAACGCAGGCGTGAATTGCCGATGGTGTGGCTTCCAACGGGTAAAGATAGAGGGAACTCCGTAACACTGGTCGCCATGCATCGCCTGCTGCTCGCCATCCCGCGGTAACCGCAAACGGCAGGCCCCACTGCGCCTTTGATCGGTGCCGACGCTGACGAAACACCGCGGAAGGGCCCACTGCCCCCGGCGCCGGACGGCGGTAGCGTCGCGGACAGATCGAGCGAGTCGCAAGTCATGTCTGCGCCGGGGCGTCGCTCCCAGTTCTACGTGGACCTGCCCTCTGAGGTCACCGATCGCGCCGTCACCCAGGATTCGTTGGCGCCGCAGCTCTGCGCGAGCCCGCCAGCTGACGTGGTGGATCATGCAGGTCGCTCGAGATTCGTCGTCGTCGCAGTTCTACGTAAGCCTTCACCCCTGCGTCACTGGTCATGCGGCCAAGCAGGAACCGCAGGTCAAGATCGAGGTGGTTGACTTGACAGGTAATGGTGTCTGGTGGCTGTGGCGCATGCTGCGCGGTCACTCCCTGACCTGACCTGATTTGCTCCGGCTTTCTGAACCCATCGGGCTAAGCCATCTGACCTTACTACCAGATCTGACCTGACTTGACCTGGCCGCCGCGCAATGCGCGATAAACGTCGTAGTCTAATCTGTTGATCTGTTGATCTAATCTGTTGTTGATTTGCAAGGGACGCTTCTGCCTGACGTCCGCCCTGGGCGAAGCTGATCCAGTCCTCGCCGCGGGCGGACAGCTCAGGCTGTTTCCCCCGCCGGCTGGCTTGACGGCTGAGCCGTTGGACGCCCAAACGTGCCGCGTTTGATTGGCTGTGCTCGGGGCCTTTATCGAGGCGGGCAGTTCAAGGCCCCACACGTCGGACCGCTCGTGCCTGAAGCACACGTGGGCGATCACGGAAGCCCTGCGCGTGAGTGGAGCCGTGTGGGAGCCGCGCCGGCCGCGCTGACCGCTGCGATAACTTCTTCGTACCGACATAGCACGGCTTACCGGCATGCGCGGGCAGATTGGCAAAGAAACTATCTCCGACTGGCATTCATGCGCGGTTTGATTTGATGCATTAACTCTGCCTTGATGGAGAAATCGCTTCGTTCCACGGCAAACTCAAGTGGTGCTTTGCATCCGGACGGAAATCCGGCCCGTCTGCTCGTGGCCATTGGAGCAACTCAACATAAAACTGACCTTCACCTCTCCACGTAGTGGTTTCGCTTTCGCCTCCCAGATCTCCTCGTCGACGAGGTGCTGGTCTTCTGCTGGCCGGCCTCCAGCGCCAGCACCCCGGGGCGCGTTATGACGGGGCAAAACTGGCCCATTGTTTTAGCCGTTGCACGTCTCACACGCCTCTCCTGGTCAAACATGGACTCTAGCCAAACACGTGGGCATTGGCTTCCGCGTCAGCGGCCTATCGGCCGTCAGACGGCGCAACCGACGGCGCGCCACTCAGCGACGCCGCAGGGAGGCCTCGACCCGGCCTGGGTCCGCTCGAGCAGCCCTCAAGGTCCGTCTCGGGTCCGAGCTCGGTGTCAGACGCGGGCAGCCTGCCTCGCCGCAGGCTGACTTCGTGTGGGGGGAGGGGGAGGGGGAGGGGGTGGAAAGTAGCCCCAGGTCCGCCTGAGACCCGGCCTGAAATCTCTCCAGGTCTCTTGGTTGACCTCAGTGGCGGGCGGGCTGGACGTCTCCGGACGTCAGTGGATCCGGACGGGCTGGCGGAGGGCTGCGGCGGGCAACCTGTCGGTTCCACAGCCAAGCAGTCCCGCTCGTCCGGTCTCCGGCGACGGGACGGCGAACCGGGAACGAACGCCAGTGTTCTTGGTTAGACTCGGAGGCCAAGTGAAGAGCGTGGAGACTCCGGTGCCATGTGAAGAGCGAGGGATCTCGTGCTCTGTGGTGAAATGGCCTTCAGCCTGAAACTGCTGACCCTGAGCGGGGTGGTCTGTAGTCGATTAGCAAACTGCCAAGGCGTTAGTGAGCCTCCGTTGGTGAACAGATGTTGGTGTCTGATTGACAAGCCTATTGACAGAACACCTGGTCCATGTATCTTGTAATTCAGCTGTGCTCGCTTTTTCCGCCGTGCTGCGCCATCGCGTATTCTGTCCCATGCATACTCATATCATTCTCGTCAAACTTGCGGCCATTTATGATCCACAAACCATGTTTGTAAATGTATCCGCGTGGTCTAGTGAATTCGGTGAATTTTGATTACAACAGTAAATAAACAAGGCCATTGTGCAAGTCTTATTCAGATGACGTAATGGCTACAAAGAATGCTTGAGCCACAACATGTGTTAGCTGGTCCAGGACATGTTACTATAGCATGCCATGCTCATAAGTACCAGTAATGGGTACTACTGCAGCGTTATGAGGGCGCTTGCGCGAAACCCATCTGCAAAAAGCGTGGGCGCAATTTAGCACGGAATGGTTGAAAAGCGTTCAGCGAACTGCCCTGTGACTACGTCATCGGTGGTCTGGCGGCTGAGCCTAGGTTCACAGAGGAGTCGGCTCAGCACGGCGATGTATGTGCATACCTCTATGCATTGACCAGTAAATGGAGACATATACAGTGTTGCAAACTTGTCTTTCAGTCCGGTGGTTTGTTTCAGAAGTCTCCCACTCCATGCTCTCGTTGACTGTCCGGGCGCGGTCCGTTTGTTGTGCTAGACAAGGCGAACAGATTTACCTATCCGTCCGTCTCGACGTCTTCCCGTTTGTGCTGGACTGGAGCTCCCGTGCGGCGGAGGGGCAAGGGGGGGGGAACCACATATCCGAAGTGGGTGGGTTGGTGGGTGAGTGGGCCCCGGGACAGCCGTGCGCCGGCCTCGAGCCGGCCGCGGCCCGGCGGCCAGTCGTCAGTCCCGCCGCCGGCCGACCGGTCGCCGTCCCCCGCTCCGCTCCGGCGCCGGTGTGGGCAGCAGAGTCACGCCCGGTGTGGACAGTGTCACGCTAGTCACGCCCGGTGTGACGGACTTGGCGAGTGCGGCAGTCACGCCGCGTGTGGACGGAGGTGCCCCGTTACGGAGACCCGCCTGCGCGCCCGGTGAGCGCGCGGTCTCTTCTCCAGGCGTCCCGTCGTCGCGAGGCCGCGTGTCCGGCCTCACCGCTAGTGGGACCCTCACGCCGGCACCTCCACACGGCACCGGTCCGCCGCCGACACGCGCCACGTGACCCGTACACGGGCCCGGCGCGGCGGCCCCCTCCACGTGGCCGGACCGTTTGGCGTGCGGTGACTCGGGGAATCTCCGGTCGGAGCCGAGCGGCTTTGGCGGCTCAGCGCGGGCGGCGCTGGATGGAGCGGGCGTGCGCCGGCCGTCTGCGGTCGACTGCTCACGCCGGCCGGGCTCGCTCGCCCCGGCTAGCCCCGAGCTGGCGCTGCGATCCGGCCACTCGGCGCTGCGGCGTGCACCGGAGCTGACCGCCCGCTCGTGACGTGACGTGACGTGACGTGACGCGTGACCCGGCTGCCTGACCGGAGGTCGTCGGCGGGCCGGGCGCGGTCGCGGGCTGCCGGCATGAGGATCCGCTTCGTGTCGCCCCCCACGCCGGAGCCGTGCAGGAGGCGCGCTCGCTGCGCGCAGCGGCGACAAGGTACGGGCCGTGCGGCGCCGCCGGCGAGGGTTTCCTGTCCCCAGAGTCTGGTACGTGGCGACCTGCCCGAAACGGGCCCCTGTCCTGTCGGAACGGTGTTCGCTAGAGCACACCAAGCCCATCTTGGGACTGGTATCGATTGGAGTTTTGAAGGCCGCTCACTTAGTTACGTTCCTGTCTGCAGTTGTGCAAGGGCCATCCAGGCGCCAGTCCTGCCCCTAGAGGCCCCAGGAGCTTGGCATGCCGGGCTTGGCATGTGGCGTCCGGCGTGCCTGCACGGAACCATGGCCTATTTACGCGTGCCGTAGTTTTGTCCGCAATTGAAGCTGCTTAGCCCGTAGATCGCCTTGGAAAAATATATTAGTCATAGATAACCCGTCGGCTTGATTGCTTTGCGCACATTGGAGCGGATGGCGTGCCGTTGCAGGGCGATGGGGACGTGTTTTCCTGACCGGCTGCCGCCTGCGGTGCGCGTGCGGCGTGATGCCGTGGGGAAAGGGCGAGGGGGGGGGGGGGCGGGCACCTCACCGCGAGTTCGCCGGCGACAGCTGACGGCCGCCGTTGACGCGTCGTCCGGTGATGGCCCGCCGGCCGGCGTGAGGCGCCGCTCGGTGTCCCGCCGGCGTCGGCGGCGGCCGGCCCCCAATGGTCAGACTGGCTCCGCCGGCGCCCGCCGCCGCTCGGTCCTGCGACTCGGTCTGCACGCGCCGGACGAGCCGACGGATCGGGGACGGGTGTGACGGACTGGCCGGCCGGCTCGCTGACAACTCGGCCCGATGGACGCTGTGTGGCCGGCTGTTTGACAAGCCGTCATCCGAAGACAAGACCCCCCCTCCCCCTCCTTCCCTCCTCACGCTCGCCCCCAGGCGAGGTCCAGGCGTCGGTTCGCCTCGCACATTTGCCGCTTAGTTGGCGCTGGCCATGGCGGCCAGGGCGGCGCGCGTTTCGCGCCGTGTCGTGCCGACGCCTCCGCTGTTGAAGCCGAATGTGGTCCCTGTCGGAACGGACCGTGTGTGTGTTATGCCGGCGCCTCCCCTGCCGGGGCCGACGGTGTGTGTGGCGCCGGCGCGTGGACGACCGTCTGACAGCTACATGGTGGGCGAGGCCTTGTTGGGCGGCTGACACCGAGCAGGTCGCGTGTAATCGTGTTTATTTACGCGACGTTGGCACGTTGGACTGCACACAGCTGCCACATACTGCGCGTTCTGCATGCCTGATACGGCGCAGGATGATGGCTTGATGTGTCGATCATCGCGGTTTGGCGCCTTATATGAGGACGGCCTAGCTCTGAAAATGTGTTTCAGTTCCATAATAATAATTATAATTATAACTGGAGCTCTACGCCCCCAGCTGTCATGAACATTTAGGGACGGTATGCCTTTATTGGGCGTCATGTGGAACGCGGTAGTGACCTGGGCGGAACTCTGAGCAAGGGCCGGCAGGTTCAGAGTGCAGCGACCTGGTCACTGCGCCGCCACCTGCCTGAGACACTGAGACATGGGGAACATGTCAGTAAATAACGGAAGGATATCCAGTAAATTGGCTGGCGGAGTGAATCGTTCTGTTCATGAGGCAGGCAAGTGTCGTATTCATGCGGCACAGATATAACGCCATTCTTCTCCAGAATCATGCATGCCGTTCGTTTAATTAGACGGCGTCGTGCACGGAACCATAGCTATTGCTATGTTATGTGTGACAGGTATTCTCCGCTTGACCGGGAGGCTGGGTGACAAGGCACGCGTCATGCTCGGTGCCCGGCCCCTCCGCCGGTCGGCCCGCGCCGCCTCTGTCGACACCGGCGGAGGCGCGCCGCTCTCGCCGCGTCCGCTGACCGGCGTCCCTCTCCGCCGGCGCCGCGACCGGTGTGAGCAAGCGGCGTGCTTGTGGAGGGCGGCCGTGGGTGCTGCTTTGGGCGGAGGAGGACGAGACCGGGCGGACGACTCCCTCTGAGGTGGGAAGGGGGGAGGGGGGTCGCGCGGTGGCCCCGACCCCGTGACCTGCGGCGCTTGGCGCTCACACCGCCCGGCTCAGCGTCCATAAATCGAACGGCACCTTTGTCGCTAACAGCGACGGCCTCGGTTTCAGATTCGTCGTACGAGAAGGCGGTGGGTCTGGACCGCGACTCGGCACCGGGCACGCCCGTGCTGGGCCACCGCTCTACGCCGGAGCCGGGTGCCTCGCGATTCACGGTAAGTCGGGGGTGGGGGGGGGGGGGGGGGGCGCGTGGCGGCCGAGGGCACCGCTGCTAGGTGGAGATCGATGGTGTTGTGAAACGAAGGTGACCTTTGGGCTTGAGATAAAGTGCCGGCTTTGTCTCATCTGTTAACTGTGCATAGCGTGAGGGACTGAGACGTGTTTGGTGATAGCGTGCGCGTCGTAAATCTACACAAGTGATATCATGATGTCAGTTTGTATATTTGTCTGCCTCGTCCCAGCCTTAGCAGGTTAACATCCAGCTCACGGCGATGTATGCAAAGCATCGTCTGAAAAATTTCAACATTGACCAAATCCCAAAATAAAAACGCTGCAACATCTCGATATTTTTTCCGAAATTATCACCCTGATGGCCGGTTGTAGATGGTTAGTAGTGCTCGCTTGTAGATGGTTAGTGCGAATATGACGCGTTATACATTACCAGATCTGCACGTAGCTTGATGATATACAAGTTTAACGGAACGGTTAGGTTCACTTGTTTGCCAAACGCATGAGGACGTTGAAAACATCTGTTATGCCCCTTTTGTGTGACCCGCTCACTCCCATAGCTTAATCGGTTCGAGCGCTTGCCTCCTGTGATGCCCGTGATCGGGTGGGTGGGGGTGAGCCGCCTTGGCGCCCGTTATTTGCCCCGCCTGGAGGGGGGGGGGAGCACGGCCAGTGGCAGCGGCCGCTCAAGATCAGATGAGTTCAAGCAAGGATGGAGGCAGCAGCAAACTGTGCTGGCTATTACGGCACGTCGAACTCTTGCCAAAATAATTATGTCGTTGGGCTGGAATTTCACGAGTGAATGATCGGGTCGGAGTTCACACAGGTGCTGCTTAGGGTGAGGTCCGAACCCAGAAGGCAATTCAATCAAAACGTCGGGAAGAAATGCATTTTTTCAACCCTCAAGCTGTGGATACTGGGCAAAGAGTATTCAGATCCATGGGATGTTTCTTGGAAAAAAAAACAAATCACCAATATCTCTTCCTCGCCTAAAACCATTCCGGCGTTTCACCGGTATGTACCTACATTAAGTAAATGCATATTGCATATACACAGGCGCCGCTGCAGCACCGCCGGCGCGACCCTCAGGTTCAGCATAAGCCTTTATCAAGACGGGATCACAGAAGTGTTCCCGGTATTAGCCAGGTGACTGCACTGTCAGGGGTGGCCGTGACGTGCGCCGGCTGGCCCCTGCCCGGTACGGGGCAGCGCTGCCAAAGAGGCCCGTCTTTTCGCGCCGACATGCCATTTTTATGCTAATGCCAACACATCCTGGTGTTGCGCGGCGCCGGGCCGGTCAGGCCGGCGCCCGGCCGGCCGGCGCTGCCACCGGCTCCTGCGGAGGTCGCGGCTTCTGGGTCTGCTTCCGCGCTGTGAAACTACACTACTTATACGGCTGTGCTTAGACGTGAGGATGGCGTGTGTTGGGTGGCGTCCCGTCGGCTGGTTGGCTTACACATCAGTCACGCTCTGATGTGAGTGAGGGCGTAACGGGCTTGCGGTAAGGTCGGACGAATTCCGGTGGTATTCATAGAACGTGATGATTGTATTCGTACTCATTTGGTACTTCTCGGCTTCTCCCAGCGTTTTGTAACCGCATGGAGATAAGCTGCCGACTTCCACTCCCATTTGTAAAATTTTAGAGGCGATCTTGCCCTTTTAAGTGTTCGTCATGATATCATGGCGGTTTCCTTGCACGAATACCGTACGTGATGGGTCAGTGCTTAAATAGTGTTTAAAACGGAACATGGCGTGCTGATTTCCAACATATGCTTTATTTCAATGGCGTGCCATGCTATGTGGCAGAATGTTGCGTGTGGAAATGTCAGACATCTGCACTGCAGATCCCGGGATTTGCTTAGATTTTTGACCACCTGGCTTATGTCATTTTTCTCGTGTTAAATACCTCCGAGTAACGTTTGCTTCCTTGTGACTGCAACATGAATATGAAGCACGTATGTAGGGAACATTAATGACAGCTCATGCACTTCAGGATTGTTTAACAACTTCATTCATGCTCGAGCGCAAAAATAGCATCATGAGCTGACATTCGGGACGAAAAAGGATCGCAATGACATGGTGAATACCAGTGTCAGGATACATATTTTGTGGAAGTAGGAGCTCGGTGCGGGAGCAAAAAACAGCACAAAATACAGTGCAACAATGGGCTAACACTGTAGCTTACTAAAAGGAATACTTCAATGGCGAAGCACAAATAATAGAAACAGAAAGACAAATGAGAACAAAAACGATAGGTAGCATTGATTAGTGGCAGGTAGAAGGAGTGCAAAGGGAGAGAGAGAAAGAGAATATATATATATATATATATATATATATATATATATATCCCGCCATAAGCGTAAACAATCCTTGGAAAAGGATTACCCAGGTTAATCTAAATGAAGAGCGTAAGGAATCCCTGCTGTCAAGACAATTTCGAGTCATCTCATTAGTCTATGCTAATAAATACGTCGAAAGAAAACGGCTTATCGGAACCGGACATCTTTATTTAGCTCCCTTTCGACAACAGGCACGCCCGTGCGTAACTGAACCCGACGCCGCTTGAAAAAAGTGACGTGATAGCATCCTTGCTGGAGCCCAAATGCAACACGCTGTGGTTTGTTGTCATGACCTGGAGTTGTTTCTATGTATTTCAGTTATGATTTCCGCTTTGTGTAGGCAAGAAGGGAGAGAGGCGCTGCAACAGACGGGTGGTCTGCTGTCGACGTTCATGCACGTCTGTCTCCAACTGTGCGTGGCGTGGTGTGGTATGTTTCTAACCTGCCCTTGGGAAACTTCAGCTGCTGTGAAACAACTCAAGCTTGCCAAGGGCGAGTGGCAGAACTGCCAACTCAGTCTCTCCTAAAAGAAGATCTGAATAGATGCGTTGAACCGTCGTGGACGCAATCAAGTCCACCACGGCTGGATGACGGTGCATTTATAATGAATGACACTGCGTACTTTGACTTGTTGCGCAAACGCTCGTGCGTTTCAACAATTTCACTCAAACGAATTCATGAATGAAGTACTTTTTAGCTGTTGCTTCTGCCCACTGAGCGAGACGTGCCAGCAGTCGCCGATAGCTACAACTGGGCTGGCAGAAGGCACGGTTGTCCCCACCAGTGCTGGCATGACGAACAGGCTTTGATGACCGTGAAGCCCAGAAGCCTATCCTCTCTGCCGTATATGGCAGCTGCCTCACAACACATTTGTTGCCTATCGCAGCTGGCGTCTGATAACCTGGAGTGCTGGGGCTGATGGATCGAACGGTGGCTATCGTGTCAGCAGCACATCAAACCGCGCTGCGGCGTTTGGCACGCTTATGCTGTAATCCTGGCGGTGCACACATGTACGAAAATGTCGTGGGCGTTCATGCTGACGTGATCTAGACACCATGCACATGTCATCGTGAACACTTTCTCCGACAGCGCAGCGAAGCTGAGATCACTCTTAGCCGCATTGTGACTGTCACGTGAACGTCGGGATTTATTTCCAGTCAGACTAGCGAGGGCTCACAACATTATGGCCTGCCCGGCCAGATAAGGGTCTGCTTCGTGCCATGGTGTGAAAAAAAGACTCGCTTCATCATCAGTCTGAATGTTTTCAATCGCCTTTAGCGCAGTATCCTTTCCTATCACGTACCTGTTTGGTGATCGAATAAACCGATCAATGTCAAAGTGTCTGCCCAGCTGGCGGCGCGGTATCATGCCATCAGGTCCCCTGTGACGTCTCTCTTGCGTTCTGGCGCGGCTGGCTCGTTTTACGACAAACAGGCGGACAGAAGTCCTTCAAATCGTCGTGTTTGTGTTCCAACTGTTACAGGGAGATTGAAAAGATGCCGTTTTTCGTTGGGCCTGTTTATAGCTTCCTGTCAGTTTAGCGTTGACAAAGAAAAATGCATTTCAGCGGGGATCATGTATTCGAAAACCGTGTTTATTCTTTTAAAAGCAATTAACACAACTTACGGAAGAAAGACAGCACGTTTACAACATTCTGCACCGATCCCGGGATGTTCTACCCTATCCGATCCCAACTGACTCGTACTCCCTTCCCTCAAGCGGGATCCCGACTTTTGTGACTTGCAGCTAGCCATTCAATCAGTTACTAAGCTTCAGCTAGCCATCTGAAACTTCTATAATGACCCTGACCTGTTAGCCCCCCCCCCCTCCCCTAGATCCTACAGTACCCGGATCCAGCGTCCCCAGGCGTTGTATGGTCGGCTGCTTACAAGACCAAAGCCTGCGACGCATCCGAGTTTACGGCGTTTCCGACAGCGTATTAGTCAGCTGTCCGTTTCGCGGGCTCGGCCCGCCAGCATCGACGAATTGGCTACACCGCCGGTCCGGACACCGCGCCACCCCTCTGCACGATGCCACTTGCTGGCAAGGAACACGACCGACACAGCCTGTAGAGGGACCGGCCTTGCCAGGGAGGGGACCCGCTCCCTTCAGAGGGACGCTGGCATGGTGTGCGCGGCACCTGGGGATCCACTGCTGGTCGACGTTCACTGGGAGAGGTAGGAGAAAGCACCTGTGGAACCACGGACACCGCTGGGCGGCATGGGTACCGCTGCCTGTTGCGTAGCCCGCCTGCTGTCGAAGCGGCAGCCGTTGTGCGGGCGCGCGGCTGCGGAGTCGACTCTGTCGACGCCGGCGCAGTCCGCGGCTCTTTGTGACGTCAGTCGGCGGGGCGCCATCTGGCGCCAGGGAAACGCGCCGCCGGCTGACAGGCTATGCACCGCTGCCATATGCCGGCGTGCGCCGTCCGCCGCCGCCGTCCTGCGTCGCCGCCCACCGTCCGCACACTTTCTAGCCGGGCGCGCGCGGCGCCAACGCCTCGGTGAAGCGCTCGTAGCGGGCGCCGGGCACGAGTCGGGCGGGCCGGGTCAGGCGGCCGGTGACCCCTGTACGCCCCCCCCCCCCGCCGCCGCTGTCACCGCAGCTGTCGACGGACGCTGGTGATCGGGCCACCCTCGCTGTCAGAGGCGCGACAGCAGCTCCGGCCGTCAGCTGTGATGGGAGGGAGGGAGGGCCGGCACGGGCGGCTCCTGCTGAGGGACACCCGGCCGGCTATCGAATGCGGATCGATTGAGCGACTCTTGTCGTGACGCCAACGTCTGCATGAATCAGCTCATTAGTCCCGGGCCCGGAGTGCCCGACTACTGCATATTGAAGGGTGTGCCTGGCAACCTGTGCCGGCTGTACAGGGGTGGATGCCAGGGGTGGATGGCGGGCGCCGTGCGCTGGACGAGCTCCCGTCCTGCACATGCGAGTAGCTTCGCCCTGAGAGGCGCGCGCTCGCGAGCGGCCTGCGGGTCGGCAGCATTGCCACGGACGGCCGTGCAATCTGTGTCATTGGACGAAGCGCCGGCACGCGCGTGCGGTAGTAATTGCCGGCTTCTGGAGCCGGACTGCGAGGAATGCCTCCCCGCCTGCTGACGCGCGCGGAGACGACGCACCGATTAGTGGCGCACCGACGCGCTGCCTCTGACAGTCTCCTGGCACCGTCGCTTCACGGCCCGCAGGCAGACGCGAAATGGCCCCCAACAGCGGGCGCACTTCATGGTGCTGTTTTCCAGCGTGCCCAGCCCAGCCCAGCGCTGCAGGCTGTGTAAATATGTTTTCGAGTCGGTTCATGGATGACCCAGGTAGCTGTCAATGGGCTGAAGCGCACATGCCTACTCGTTGATTCCCATGCCACTTATTTGCGACCGTGAGCGTGATCTGGCGCTAAGGCACCTACCGAGGACCGTTTTGCGCTCCACTGACGTGCCGGTCGCTGACGGCTCCGCTGGCTCCCGCACATGCGCGAGAAAGAAAGTTAATGAATGAGATAACAGGGACAGCGCTGTAACCGACTGCGTCATCCGGAGCGGAAGAGCGCGGCTGACGCGGCACCTCCCGCGTCACATTTGGCGCCGTCTGGAGGCAATGTGCCAGGGGCGGCCGGCAGCGCGGCACGTACGACTTTTACGGCTGCACGCCGCCGGCTGCGCCAAGTTTGCCTCGTGGCTGGCTCCCCCACCGTCTGGCGACGCTGAGTCGCGTCGCCGCGGTGAAAAGAAGGGTGGAGACCGACGCCGAATACCGAAATAAACAAGCCGAACTGCGCCGCGGGAGGCGCCCGTGCCGGGCGGATTGACGGGCGGGTTACGCACGCCAGCATTTCCGTAAATCTTCCGGACGTGCGTAATCGATGCGCGCCATATATCCGGCTGGGGGACCGCGTCAGGCCTGTCACCCCGGTCGGCGCGCCGTTCCGGCGGCTGCGCCGCGGCTGCGGCGGGAATGCTCCCCGTCCGTAATGGCGCGCCGCCGGCGCAGGCCGGGGAGGGCAGGGGCCGTCGCCCACCGGTAACGGAGAGGCGGTATTAGTCCACGGGCTCCCAATGGGATTACGTGCCCCGAGGAGCGGAAGGGAATGTGCGGTAATCTGGGAGGCAAGTCGATGCGCTGATGCGGCGCGAACGGCGCAGATGGAGCCGGAGCTGCCGGCGCTGCTCCCCGTGCCAGCGGCGTGTGGTGGGACGCGCGCGTCTGGTTTTTGCCCCCCAAGTGGCGGCCGTGCTGGGTTTGGCCAGACGCCGATCTCAGCGCCGGGTGCTGCTGCTGCTGATGCGCCGGGTGCTGCCGCGGGCGCTGTCGTCTGCTGACGTCTGCCGCGCCGGCTGGTCTGTGTTGTGACGCGACTGTCCGGTACCGCTGCACAAAGCCGCTCGCTTCCAGGGTCTCGCGTCCCGGCGCCTGGTGCTGTCTCGCATGGCCCGGGGCGACCGTCTGGTGATATTGTCCGGCGGGTGTGCCCTCGTACAACGCTGCCCGGTTTCCACCGAGTGACGTCGGTGTGTGGCCGGGCCTTAAACGCCGCTTTGCAGCGCCTAGTCTACCTTACGTTGAACTACCCCGCTGACCCGTATGACCTGACCCGCCGTTCCTCCCCGTGACCTGCCTCACTGTGCCTCTCCCTGACCGGACCCACTGTGCCTGCCCCTGACGTGCTGCGCCTCCCTCTGCAGAACTTCTTCTCGAAGCGCTCCCTCAAAAACAACCCGCTGAAGCGGACCAAGTCGGTGACGAAGCTGGAACGGAGCCGCAGCCGCATCGACGCCGACGGGTGAGTCACGTCGACGACGCCGGTATGACGTCACGCACCTGCGCCGCCCACCGGCAGCGGGCGGCCGCGTCGGTCGTGGGCGCGTTGTGGCCCTCGCTGGACGGCTGCCCGAGGGGCGCAGAGCGCGGCGGACCGCTCGGGCGGAGTTGGGCGTGAACAAATCGTGGCCGTGTGCTATCGTGACTCGCATCAGGATCCGGTTGGGAGCAGGGCTCGCTCCTACCGGGCGGTGTACGGGCCAAGCGCGCCGGTGATTTCTGCAGCTCACGGATATCCCGGTCGGGGAAAGCTACGGCCGATGGCGGGATAGCGGGGCACGGTTCCTGGAATCGGGACCTTTCCTCCGCTGCATTCCGACCATGTGTGGTGCACGGGAGCTGGTGGCTCAAACAGTCACAGCAGGACGACCTTCCAGCAGTCCTCGTCGGCTAGCAGCTCGCTCAGCTGCTGCGCGCCGGCGGTCAGTGGCGCGGTGTGCCAGCGTCTCGCACTGCTCTCGTCAAAGTTCTTGAGTTGCCTTCCTCCCTGATCCGTTCGCTCGGGCCCGCACCGAAATCTGTCGGCTGGTACAGAATCTGACAGCTGTCAGTCCAACGGACACGATTTATGACATGTTCGGCACGCAACATAGCAGCCCCACACTCGCAGCGCACGTGTTTTGGCGGCGAAATTATGCTTCTGTGTCAACGTGTTAAGTTGCAATATTGCGACTCGCTGGAGTTCACCCATTAGTAATGAACAAACCCATGCCTAAGTGAAAATAGCGTCAAATGAGTTTGAATGAATGAATGTGAATTATCATGGCTGAAATAGGGCTTTGGATTATTTATTTAAGCAGCTCAAAAAGGGTAGACCCGGAAAACCAGACGCGCTGCAAACATGATCAACGTGACTTGAACTGAGTTGTCATCCAAGTCATGCCTAGGCAAAACCACGTAGAGGGTATGTCCATTATATTTTATCAAATAAAACGAGCAATGCAGAATACTTCTTTGGCCCCGGATCGCCTTTGCAACAGGCCTTCGTTTGAAGACGGGCATTCTCATGAGAATGGCATCCAATAGCCGTAGGCAGTGGTCAGTGGGACACCTCTCCGGCACCGCGTTGGCCCCAGAGGCGGTACTATCCTTCCAGTTCTGAGCCAGCTCCCGGTGGCCGTAGTGTCCGCACCGGCCACCACGCCACGTAGGCAGAGCGGCGGGTCACCCGGCGGGGCTGCTGGGCGGCGCGGATCGGCGTCGCCAGGGAACGGCGCCGCCGTGGCCCCGCCGCTTCCCGGTCGTCGCGTCGCGAGGCGCGTGCCGTCGTCGGCGACGGACGGTCGCGGCCGCCGTCGGCGGCGGTCTGCGCCGACTAAAAATACGGCGGCGTCGCGGGCTGGGGCGCACACGCGCGCCGCGCGCGCCAGTCGGAGTGGGTCGGCGGCGGAGGTGGCAGGAGCCGGCCGTCGCTCGCGATGAGCGGTTCGGCGTGCTGCATCGGTGCGGACCCGCGCTGCTTCCCCAGCTTCGCCACGGTGCGGCGACAGCCGCGGCGCGGCCCGCCGCCGGCCGCTAGGTGAGCCGTCGGCGGTTCATGGTCCTCTGGTGGCGGCACGGGCGCGGCGGCGCCCACTGGCCCTGGTCCGGTCAGATCCCCGCCACCGCCGGAGACGCCGACCTGGCGTTGGTTACCTTTCGTGAAGCTTGGTCTGGGTGCGTCCCCTGGCGGCTGAGCAGGCTCCGCGTCGAGGCCTCAGACGAGGCCGACTGGTGCGTGTTGCTGGGGCAGGTTGTCGCAGTCAGGCGGTTGGAGGCCGGGTGTAGCACATGTCTCGTGCTGTGGATACCCATGCTCCCGTGTAGATATTTTTTAGGCAACCCGATCTCGTGTGCTCGTCGTCATAGAAGGAACCGATTGCAGTCGATGTTAGCAGGCGGGAGTTAGCTTTAGCTGACTTCAGGACATGGTCGCGTGGCTTGGCCTTATAAACTCATGATGCAGCGCTCATGCGAAGTGTCGCCAAAGTTTAGAGGGTTATCGCAGCGGCAGTGCCGTATGCATGGCAGCGCATTATTCACATCACGCTGCCTGACTGAAGTTCGGCATAATATCTTGAACCCTTTGCATGAAGTATACGGTTGTTTTATCTCTAAGCCGGGGGCTGAAAGAGTTCCTGCATGATAAACCATGACCGGAGTGCATCGTTCTGTCAAAGTTTGCGGACAGACCTATGAATTCGCTTTTGCCCGGACTCCGTTTTACAGGATCATTTTCCAGATGGATTGCAATGTTCCAACCGTACATGTCAAAAATTCCTGGGGATGGCAAATGCTTCAAGGGAATGTTCCACATTTTGAGATGTGGAAGCAACCATCACACATGATGAAATAAGCTCATTTATAACTGTTGGTATAGTTTTGAGTGGAAAAGACTGCTCTAGACCACATCACTCTCTACCTAGTGAATACGCCTCGTAATGCTGTCATTTTTTATTGCGTCATCGTACCTTGCTTAACACTGATTGACAGCCAATTGACCGCTGTAATATCTTGAAGTCGTGCTCACGAACGCCAGACATGAACGACTGGGCAATCATACTTTCTTGTCCTTGATCGCCGAAGGGCCAATGGAATAACAGGATTTGAATGGCGTTATTGTGCCGTCATGGATACCTGGGTGACCTTGAAATAGCTTGCACCGAATAGTCTGCACATATTCGTGGACGTGTTGCCCAGATACTAGAGTGGCTTAGGTTTTAAGAAGGGCATGGCTGTGCACCGCACCGAATGATCTTCAAGTTAGCTACTTCATCTCGAAACCCTTACACATCTGAAACACTTTCTTTCAAGGTATGTTTTTTTGACAGCATTTTGGCCTTGTTTGCAATGACGCGCTTATGTCTGTTCTGCTGCAAACATCTGCATGACAAGCAAAGCCGCAGGCAAAGGGGCACAGAGGGCATGTCTCTCCCTTTCTCTTTCTCTCCCTCTCTCCCTCTCTCCCTTCTCTCTCTCTCTCTCTCTCTCTCTCTCTCTCTCTCTCTCTCTCTCTCTCTCTCTCTCTCTCTCTCTCTCTCTCTCTCTCTCTCTCATCTCTCTCTCTCTCTCTCTCTCTCTCTCTCTCTCTCTCTCATCTCCTCGCTCTCT